ACCCGAATTCCTTTATGATCAACGAATGTCTGGGCACGGGACATCAATTTTGAAGTAGTTGTCGCTTTTTGTTTCTTCCAGTCATGTTGTTTACAGCTTTTCGTTAATATAATAAGAACTATGTATAACAGCTTTTTATTTTTCTAGTTTATTGACCTTTTTTATTTGACACTCTCTGGGTAACGTAAAAATAAAGTTTAAATAGATTCGCGAAAAGTTAAGTCGTTATATCTCCCAAAATTGAGCACTTTCACTATAACGATAATAAAAACTGGCGCTTATTGTACGATTATAAACTTTATCAAATTATTCATGATTAAGATATGTGCTACAATTTCTGGTTTATCTTTTGTTTTCAAAGAGCTCATAATAATTGTATTATTCGTTATGGCTATTAACGTTCCGAAATAAAGGTCATTTTATGATTCATAGCTTGGAACTTGCTAAAAATTAGCTGATTTAAGTATTTTTTTAGTAATTCCGGCTAGAGGTCTGCATTGATCCCTATTTTACAACCCCCTGTAAAAAAAGTCGATCCGGTTTTTATATTCCATCTTTTTTTCCGTAAGAGGTTCATATTTCCGGAATTAATAACCTTATATCACGGCATTTTATCGGATTATTAACATTTTCCGTGAATGGATCCGGGAAAGGCTCCTTTTTACGGAGTTTTTACAAAATAACGGATAAAATTTTTTATAGGGCCCGCACTTGGTAACGAAAAATCATGTGCCGGCCCGAGACGGCCCAAACTCGGATCTGGGCCGGGTTAGGGTTTCCCGACTGGTCCCGTTTGCAGACCTCTAATTCCGGCCAGGATTACCCATCCCGGGTTTCAGCTCTGGCCAAATATACAATTTCGGCTCGTTTGTTATCCCAGGCTCTAATTTTATCCTTATAAAAAATGCATTAAAAAATTCGAATTTATATATAAAATTTATTTTACTCATATTATTTAGAATAAGACAAAATATCATCATGACTCAAAGTTTGTCATGTGATAAATATCAGCCGATCAAAATAATTGGTCAAATGACCAAGTCATTTCAGTTATGACCTAGATTATTACTAAAACAAATAAACGGAGATAAGATAAATAAATATGTATCCCTTATCAATTAAATATTTATTGTTGGCAAAATTTGTAAAATAAATGTATAAATCATTTTTTTTATTTATAATTAAGTACGTTGATCCGAATGATCCGACTGATTCGTACGGCCGTACCTATGTAACATTCGAACTCTATTCTTATTTATAGTATACTAAATAACTATATTAAATTATTATTTTCTATTTATATTAAAGCTTTATTCAAAAATACTTTATTAAAAAATACTTTTTGAAGAGTTTTTTAAAATTAGAACAACCATATTTTTCGTTGGGTATGTAATGAAACATAAATTTCAGAAAATTATTAAACAAGTAGCATGTGACTTTCCTTGTTATACTTTAAAAGAATAAATTCTAAATAATAAAATGGTAACACTTTGGAAATATTTATAAGGAAAAGAATGATTCCTTTATCATAACGTCGTCATAAGGATTAAATAAACACAAAGTGATCCTTATATATCGCTTAAATGCTGGCTCTTTACGTACTAGTTTAATCAAGAAATGACATCAAATAAAAACTGTGTTTCAGTATTTCATGAACTTAACAACATTTACGATTTGTCAGAATGAATAATTTAATAGTAACTTACCTTATTCGACGTACATTTTTTGGATAATACGTCTATTGTTGTTCTTTTTTAGAAATGAAAATCTGTAACCAATCGGAAATTTTAAATTATTTTACTGCATATTACGTTCTATGTGTTACTAATGTCTATTACATGTACGTCCAAGTCGTCCAAGGGTCAACTTCGATGATATTCAATATACTGTAGCTACAATATTATTATCGTTACGATATAATGATATTGTTGCTATATTTTAATGATGTCGTTAAGATATTATTTGGATATTAACAAAATATGATTTTGATATCATAATAGTAATGATATTTTAAATTTTTAACAATACAGTATATCAAAGAAATCAATAAAATATTGTTTTAAATGTTATTGTCTAAAATTATAAGGTTTCTGATGAATTGGTAAAAAAAATCGATTTGTGATAAAACGTAAAGATTACACAAAGTTACAAACAAATGTGTGCGATGACTAAAACTTTCGAATTTCAGTTGTTTGACTCGTTCAATTAATTACAAAATTAATTTGCAATTGAAATTATAGCTTACTTTTATCTTAAGAACGCAGGAACAAATATAATGCATCGTACCATATATTTTTCCTATATTAGTATTATACTTCAATGATATTATTCCTAATATAATATATCATATTTAATTATTGTTCTTTATCTCGTTATAAAAGTATTGATGCTACATATGCATGGACTTATTTATTCGTATGCTCTAAATTAAGTCGCATTAATTAAGCGATTAAGGAAATCAAAGAAATATTCTTCCCTGACTTTGACGCGTAAAGTTTAATAAAGTTATTTTCTTGCATAGAATAAATTTATTTTATTTTAAAGTTTTGAATAATTCAAATACTCAAACCAATTAAATACTTTTTAAGAACCAATATAAAATCATCCGTGTAATGAATTTTTTTAGATTCTTAAAATTCAATCATTTGTTTAATGTCGTAATAAATAATGCCTAAAATTTTGTAAGATGAAAAGTCATATTAAATAGAAGAGTTGTAAGATGAAAGTCATATTAAATAGAAGAGTTGTAAGATGAAAAGTCATATTAAATAGAAGAGTGTTACGAAAAATTTCTCTATGCATGTTAATTTGTGATAATAAAAAATTTGTTTATAAATAAAATTAAATGTTAAGCTATAAAAAAAAATATAGCTTACAGCAAAATTCGAAATATAGTCGACACTTGAAGATTTTTATTGTCAGGTACTCGGGTTACTCGGCTAGTCGGGTTATTAGAAAAGATACATAACACATGACATATATATATATGTGATGGATATATAATGTAATTATGTTCACGGGTATACTTTAATTTATTTTGAAGTCAGCTGTAAATACTCAAATAACAAATAAACCCGTAAAAGTACCAATTATATTTTAATATGGGTTTAAATTTTATACGCAACGCACCCTTTATAATATCCATTCTAAATCATACTTTGGTTTTTAAGAAAAGTTGTAGAGCAAGCAAAAATACGCATAGAACGTGTCTTTTAAAAGCTCTATAATATGTACATAAAACAAAAATCAGAAAATTAACGATGTCACGTGATAAGAAATGATCGACATATTTACTATGAGAAAATTACCAAGGGTGCCCACGTAAAAAAGTTTTTTCCTTTTAATATTTATATTAGATAATAATGAAACATTTCAATATTCGATCGGATAAAATTTTTTTTATAGAGATACTTTTATAGTAATTTGTTTTGTTTCAGAATACAGTGAAGCATTAATATTATTAATACAAGTGGGGACAAATAATAATAAATCAAAGGAAAATAAGAGAATTTTTATTTATTGTTGCAAAGTAAAAAAAAAATAATGAGACAAATATTTACCAATTGTTTTAATTTGTGACGATCAACTTAATAACTTAATAACATAATAACCGATAATGTAACGTTGTACATTTTAATTAAATACAACATACATTAAATAATAGTTACACCAAATTAGAAAGTTTTTTGGTAATACACTCGTACATTAAGATTTTTTTTTGTTTTCATCTTTCTTACACCCTGTAAAAAATTTTTATCCGTAATTTTTAATTTCTGTAAAAAATTCCGTGAATATGATACATTTTATGGAATAAAAAACACGGAATAAATTTTTAATTTGTTTATTGTACAAATCTTACGACTTTTGCCATTATGTTTACTATAAAACGCGTAAGAGGATAATGATTTCATCTAGTAAATGAAAAACATTAAACCCTGTAAAAAATTTTATCTAGTGTTGGTCTCCGTAAATAGTTGTAAGTCCAAAAGTTCAAGTAAATAGAATGTTTGTAAAAAGGCTTTCGATAATAATATTACAACCGCTAAAGGTTGTAATTCGATATATAATAATCGTTACTTACGGAAACAAACCTTATTAATCCAAAACAACTCTAAAAAGTCTATTTATATTACAAAAGAACCAAACTAACTGGTTAAATAATAAGCTTCTGAAAATAGCCAAAAAAATCTAAAATTAGACTTTTCATGATCATATTATATTTAAAACAAAAACTTTTCTTTGAAATTTTACTAATTAAGTGATCAACATTATAAATCTTAAAATGGCTCAACGTATCAATTTATATAATAGCTTATTTATAGTATTATTATACAGTATATTAATTATAAAGTAACTCCTTTCGATTAATAATAAATTTGAGTAACGATTATTGATTTAATTATTTTAAATGGAACAAAAAAAATCATTTTTATATTATTTAAAAATTAAATCAAACCCAAATTGGAAATTAATAAAGAGAAAAACAAAAGATTACTTTAAAAGGCGTACACGTTAATCAATATATTATTACTTTATATTCAATTTTTTTTGTTATTATCAAATATTATTAAATGAAGGCGTTATCAAATTAGTCTCACAATAACATTTACAATTCGGCATTTGCCGATTTAAAACGGAACAAATTATTGTTCGGAGTAAGTTTTTTAACATCTTGCCATACTCAATAATTCTTCGTATACATTTAATTCCGTCTTTTTTTTTCCATAAAAATAGCATATCTAAAAGAGATATTATGCGATCTTAGCGTTTTTACTATGCAGAATTAAGTAATTTCAATGATATTTTCTTTTTTTTAAATGACATTATAATTATTACAAATTTAGTATTATGAATAACGATTTTAGTTGAATAATAATAATAATCTCCATTATTTTATTATCTAAATTGGTAAATTGCCGAAAATTAAATAATGCTTATATAGACTCTATTTATGTTAGCATCTCATAGTAAATTATAAGTTAATAAGCTTCAACACTATTTTTCATTATAATGTCATCAAAAAATTATGGAAAAAATACTTGCGGCACGCCGCCATATGTTTCAAAAATTCGTTTTGAAAATAAAATAAAAAAAAGAAAGCCTCCAAAAATTTGCTCAGATTGTAAAGAAACGAGCGATTCTGTCAAACTTTTTTCTAATAAAGTAAATAAATTAGAAGAAGTTATTGACAATTTTTATAAAAATCCCATAAAAAAGAATAAAAATAATCAATTTTCTATCTTCAATGCAAAATTTACTTTAAACAATGTCCCCTGCGAGTTAGAATACGATTTATCAAAATTTTCTTTAGATAATTTACATAAATTGGTTATTTTTACAACTCAACATTGCAATAACAATAATAAATATTCATCTTCTATCGAAAATATTGATAACGAAAGTGATGGTAAATAAATAATCACTTTCGATATTACAATCCATCAAGGCAAAATCGACTCTCAAGCAATTAGAAAAAATATTTAAATATTTCCACAATTTAAACAATTTTATCACAAACACAAATTTTATGCATTAATTAAGATTTACTATATTAAGAAATTTACTATGATCAACATTTTACGTTATAAAAATCATTTTGTGGCTTGTACATTCATTTTTCCTCACTAGGTTAGTTTAGCCGCAACTTTTACGTATTTCCTTTTTTATTTAATCAAATAATAAATTTTATTATATATAAAATGCGCTTTTTAACATTTGGCACTAGTTTTTAATGGTCTAATTTTATCATTGATAATTTTTAATACATCTTTTAAACTTAAAAAGCGTTAATAACTAATAAGATATACTTTCCTTGGCCCTAATAAGCTCATGTAATTTACAAACAAGTTGATTTGACGAAGCAATACGAAGTACATAGAAATATCTGAACGAATTTAAATCTTTCGAGTTTCTAGAATCAAAACAAAGATTAAAAATTAACTAATAAAATTTGAAATTTTACCAGCGGATTATGTTAGTTAAAGGTATAGACGGTTTACCACAAAATCCCAATTCGACAATCTACAATCCCGACACCAAGATCCCGACAAACCCAAATCCCGTTGAAATAAAATCCCGTTAGTCACAAATTCCGACAATTAAAAATCTTGACAATCAAAATCCCAAAGTTTTTTTTTTAAATATAATTTTAAAAATGCAATGACGCAGTAACGGGTTAATTTATTGTAAAATTTATTAATACCAATGTAAATTGTTTGTAAATTTTATACAAATTAACTAACGTTACTATATTATTAATGAAATTAAAGAAAAAATTTTTTATCTTAGTTAAAAGGATTATGTACAGTATATTACTAGAACTATATTATTCTTTATCTTATAAAATTAGAAACAATTATATTAAAAAAATTAACTAAACTCAAATTCATCTGATCGAATCTCAGCCAGGATTTTGGCTGTCAAGATTTTAGATCATCAGGATTCTGTGACTGTCAGGATTTTGATCGGGATTTTGGTGTCGGGATTATAGACTGTCGATATTATAAGTGTCAAGATTTTTGGGTGATCCTAATTTAATATATATATAAATAAATATTTTTGTTAAATGTGTTTTTTTAAAAGGCTTTGAATATTTTTACTACAGGAAATAAACGTGGTTAACGCGCACAACTTAAATTCTTTTATGACAAAAATAAAGTAAAAGATTGAAGATATTTGTATAAATACCTACTGTATATCTATTTTGCGTTTTTGTGCAAAAACGCAAACGTCCCGGCGCGTAAATAATAACTTTTAATTTATATGAAAATAAAAATAAATAAATAAACGTAACTAAAATGGTACAATTATTGCAAAAATTAGTTATACTGTACGCACGTTATTTGTTAGAGTTAAAAAAAATAACCCGATGACAGATGTGAAATGAAGAGCTACAATAATTTTTCGTTTTTACAAGTACTGTTCGAGTTTTGGGTTGATTTATAGTATTTGCTTTATTCGAACCCTAATATTGAGTATAAGTTTCATGTTGGGTCCAAAAAACCTTAGCCGGTTAATAGATAACAGGTAACTTGTTACCCGGTTGGTGTTAAAGAAATAATTTCATAACTGTATTTGAAAGGTTGTTTGATTGGATCTGAAGTTTGTTCTAATAATCGTTTCTCTCACGATTTAGTTTCTTCTTGGTTAGTAAAATCACTCATTCATTCACCAATAAATTAATTAGTTAGATAAGTAGATGTCGACTGCATAAATCGATTACATATTTCATCTTATTCTTATGCTATTCCTTGACCGATTTTCGAATATCTCTAACATTTAAAAATAAATAGCTGCTTTAATTGTTTTACTACTCATTCAACTGAATATAATTAGCATTTGTTGCAAATTTGAAATGTAAATAGTACTCTAATGCATTTGCTTATTATTTTAATGCAACGAACGTAAAGAATACTTTTAAAGAATAGGTTCTCGATAAATGTAACATTGTGAAAATATTTGTGTGCTATACAAAGAAAGGAAATGTCACAACGCCGTAAGACACTATGCGTAATATAATTAAACAAAAAACAGTGAGTAATTCGTGTAATGAACCATATCCCTTATTTCCTAATTTAATAACATTCTGTAAATATGTGTATGACAAGGGTAGTCATATGCCACTTGATAAATTACAGGGTTAAAAATCTAATCTTATTTCTAATTCTAAAGGTGACATATTTCTGTCAAAAAACAACACAAAATGTATTTATGAATAAATCTTAATATAAATATGTAATGTTTATTTTCGGGGGGTGTTACATAAGATCATCAGGAAATTTTTTTTGTGTAGAAAAATATGCAAAATTTCGTGCATGAAAAAACTGATTTGCACACCCTGAAAATGCACATTATTTGCATATTTTCTATGTGATATATTGTAAAAAATTTGTACAAAAAATTACATATATAATATTGTTAACTATATTGCTCAAAATTTAAGTATTTGTGCAAAATTGAATACCCTAAAAATTTAGTGATGAACATGAATAATTGGATCAACCGATCTGCTTGATAAATATAGAATTGTGGAGTATAAATATTTTGGTTGGATATACAAAAATACAATGGCGCAAACTGCCTGTAAAGCTTTATTTGAATGACTTCAGTTGTAGTAACAGATAATAACACGACATATCCATTACGTCATTTTAAAGTTTATAAAGTAAAGGTACTACGTATTTGACTATTTAAAATATACGTCTATTGTGCACTACTGTTTTAACTAAAATTTATTTTAATATTCAGATAATTAAATTTAAAAACAAAAAAAAAATCCCTATTACAAAACGTTTTAAAAATTTCATCTTGAATTATGTGTGAGTCTAATTTTTTGAGATAAAACAATAATTAATTTTAAAGAAATATAATAAAAAGTTGAGAAGGAAGTTCATATAGTGACTTTTCCCTATGAAAATTTGTAAGTACAATTGTTTGATTACTTTTAGTGTTGGTTGCCGCAAGTAATAATTACGACATTTCGGATTACAACCATTTACAACTCCATATGTCGTAAATATTACAACCTTACTACTTTACGTAACCCATATATCAAATATCGGTTTACAACCGTTGAAATTAGGTTACAACTATGGTTGCAACCCGGTTGCAATATTATGGCAGCCAACCTTAATTACTTTGGATCGTATAACAATAAAATACATAATTATTTGGGATACCTTGCTATCGTTCAATCGCAAATAAAATAAATCTTCGGAGAGAAAAAACTTATTTAAAAAAAAATTTCCCGACTATAATTTATGGCGGCACATGAATTTTATTGATTCGATTACAATTATAAATTCACATATCGACGTATTTGATTACTTTAAATGCTAAACCTGAAAGATTTCATAATTTCCGTTGCCCAAAATTGTTTGTAATACCAAAATCACCTGATACGTAGACAATTATTTGGCTAAATAATGATTATATAGAAAACATGTCATGTATAGAGGCCTATGTATGTACGTATAGTGGTCAAATGTATGGCAACGTCCGGTAAAAATGACCATACGTACCGTACGTTGATCACTATACAGACATACACCTCTATACATGACATGTTTCCGTCGTACCCCTAAATAATAAGTTGAGAAAAATCTATATTTGCGAAACTTAAATTATTCAACATAAAGTAGACTCAAAAAAAAACCCATTTCACTAATAAAATCCCATTTCTCACCTGCATAGTAATTTTAATAGAAAGTAAGTATGCTTTAATAAACAAAATGTTAAATAGAAAATTTATATAGTCATAATAGCTATGAATATTTTAAAAGTATTTTAAATAAAACTCAGTGAATATTGTTTAAAAATTTTTTTTATAATAATTTTTATAAAGAATATTTTTCTAACTATCACTGGGGTGATGATCACCGGTGACTGAAATTATGATGATCACCAGCATTAAAAAAATATAGTGCCGGTAAAAATTGATAATCACCCCCGGTGATTTGAAATATATATATATATATATATATATATACAGTCAAAGTTCTCTATAACGAATCACGGGCCGGAGATTAAAATTCGTTATAGTAAGAAATTCGCTATACTAAAAGCCATTTTATTATAAATACTAAGATCTGTACCTGAACTTTTCTTCATTATAGCAAATTATTCGCTATATAAAAATTCGCTATAGAGAACTTTGACTGTATATGAAAAAGCTTTTATAAAATTGTCTATTTTTTATATTTTTCAAGTCATATAACTAATTCACATTTATTTTATTGCACACATTATAGGAACTTACACGCACTCGAACTGATTGTGAAACATATATGCATACTTTCAATTTTACAATGAAAAAAAAAAAAATTCCAGAAATTATCGTGCAAAGTGAGATCCTATAACGGATATTATCAATATTATCAGAATTATATTTATTATATTTTTGGCTTAAAAGAAGTATTTATCAAATTATTTTATAGCAAAACCAAATAAAAATTTTTTTAATGTTCGTCCCCAATCTTACTACGACTTATGTAATACAAAATTAACACGATGATTATAGGGTAATCAAATCCACCGATATGATCTTTTGCTGGAAATAAGGAGTTCAATTTTATATGATTACTAACATTCTGAAATTAAAGTCGTTTTAATAATGTGGAGATTGAAAGTTTAAAATAGGTAAACTTAATTCCGGCCAGAGTTGTCCATTCTTAAACTTCGGTTAATCCTGGAAAATGCATAATTTCGGCCGGAATTAAGTCCATTTGTTTTTTCTAGACTTATGAAATTAAACGCAAAAAAATGTATAATACTTAACCTCAAGGATTATAGAAATAAAATGAGTATTACACAACAATTCTTCTGGCGCCGGTTATTAAATTTTGGTTAAACTTAAATATATTTCAAATTTCAAATTGTGCGTACAGTCAATAATTACATGTGCCAATAGTTTTTCATGTCCTCAATATTATATATAATTGAATTTCGCAATATAACATGTACCGATATTTTTCTTTTGTCCCTTTATAATAGTGTATAATTTAATTGAAATTTTTAATTTCTCTTTTAGTATCGGTATTATATATTGCGATATATTATAGTTCAACAAATAATCAATATTATTACTAGTACATCCGCTTAATGATGGAATAATAATAATGGCCATGACATTATTATGTAATATTTTAGGGGGAGGTCTTATATTATATGAGTAACGTAAAGATTATATATATTACATGGGTGGGTATAGGCTTATAATAAAGGGATATTACGTACTAATAAATGTCATAACCTAGTTATTTACACAACCACAACTTAATCAGGTAATGGCATAAATAAACTGTGCTTCAATGTATTTTGATTTATTATCATTAATAAAAATCCAATAAATCGGAGAATTTTATAGAGTTACGCAAGTTATTATACGTCAGTTCCATCAGCATGATTACGTCACGTCATCCCGGACAATTTTAGCGAGAAGTATAAATTGCATGATTAATTTCGAACGGGCTGAGAAATATGTCAAACGATTACTTCACGTCTCTATGCTCACTACTACATAACACTTTCTAAAAAACATTCATGTAAATTTTGCAAAAAAAATGTAATGAATGTTACCATATTTATAAAACCGCAATAAAAATAAATATACTGTAAGAAATATTTTAAATTGTTTCATTTAATTAATTATTGATTAATTTTGTCACTTGGTCACTTGCATGATGATCCTTAACAATGTAACATTGCATACGAAAATTCCCGATTATTACTATATATTTAATATTCAGATTTTTATTAATTGGTTTGAAATTCCGAAACTTATTATATATTTAAGTACTGCTGTTCCTTTTGTAGCCCAAACTCGGCTATTATATCCCAAATCCATACCTGTGAACAACCAAACCTCTATGAGGATTTCCAAAAATTTCGGGTTTCAGAATATACGAATCGAAACCTAATCCGAAACCCTAAACTATTTCCGAAACTCGAAATGAAACCCGAAACCCGAAACTAGTTTCGGTTATCCTGAAACTAATCCTGATACTCCGAAACTAATTCCAACTTGAAACAGAATATTTCAATCTGATCATGTCCCAACCTAGTTAGATTGAGACATGGGGCAATGTCCTAGTATTAAAGCAAGATAATGACTATTCACGCGATTCGATTAAAAAAAATCATACCATACGAACATGTAGTACTAAATTCCGATCTAAATTTAATAGTAGGTTAACAAGTTTAACCACGTATAAAATAATTAATATATGCAGGGTTTACTTCCTGTATTGAGATAATCATAGAATATCTATTATTATTGTAATACTAAAATAGGTGTTATTATAGGTAAATATATTTATAAATTTTGGTTGTTAATATTTGCTTTTCAGTATATATGTAAAGTTAAATTTTGGGGAATGTTCTTGAACGTGATACTTTAAGAAAATTTTATGTACATAAATGCATAATATATTTTTTAAATGATTATCCAATTAATTTGTGATATCTACGCGTTTTATTGTAAATTAATTATATACCCTATATGGTGAGACAGCTTGTTAGCAATTTCTTCATGAGAAAGTTTGATGTATCGTAACAATAAAATTGATTTAACAATTGCTAATAATCCTGTAAAATGAAACATTGTCATATATTCTTTCAATTAATAATAACAGCTATGAGTCGAAATTTTTGTACTATTCAAAATTGAATCAAACTCAAATTAGCAAGTTGACAAAGAAAAATCCCTATAAAAAATTTAATCCGTAATATCCGTAAAAACTCCGTGAAGGTGATACATTTACGGAGAAATAACTAAAAATTTAAACAACTTAGATAATTTCCATGTTTTGAGACTATAAATTCCGTAAATGTGATACATTTACGGAATCACCAAAAGAAAATTATTCGTGGCGTACATAATATTTACAACTAATTTATATGAAGATTTAATAGTACATTATTATAATAATAAATTCCTTACATTTTTAGAATTGCGACATTGCTGATGTCTTTGTGAAACAAATTGATCCTAAATTAGCTTGTGAAAGGACATATCAGACCCTTCTACAAACCTGAAAAATGTGCCCATTTGCAAAATAGTGATTGATTGGTAAGTCGAATACAATAATCTAAATATACTGAGTCACACCATTTTGAAAGTGAATATATCAAATATGTAATATGTGATTCGTATTTATTCAAAACGAAATGTACCCGGGGTATTTTAGTTAGTGCTATACGGTAATCAGGCTAATTGGCTGACCGATTTTATGAAAAAATATCTATTTTTGAAACATTGAAAAGAATACATTGTTCTTGAAAGTTCATTACTCAATATATTCCATAAATGCATGTATTCCTTTCTAATAAATGCACACCCTAGCATCTATAAACTCTACAAGTGCAGTTATCCAATAAATATTTTAATAATAGATGATTATTTTTATTGGTGAAGACTTAAAATATCTGAATTATAAACTGATATTATATATTGCAAATCTAGTATTTTAATGGTATTCAAGATGAAAGTAAATCTTAAACTAATAATATATTTATTAAAGCAAATATTTCAGATTGGGTAATTTATTTCGGATTGGGTAATTTATTTCGGATTAGGTAATTTTAATCACCAAATTTTTGTAATTAGCCGTTGGGAACAAAAAGTATAAAAAACCAAATTTTTATCAATAATCCATATTTTTAGAGACAATAAGTTTATAAGCTCCAATCCTACTTTTTTCACTTTCGTTCCAATGTCATCAAAAAATTATGATCAAAAAACGCGCGGAACACCGCCGTATCATGTCCAAAAAATTCGTCTCGATAATAATGCAAATAGATTAAAAAAAAGAAAACTTCAAAAAGCTTGTCCAGATTGTAAAGAGACGAGCGATTCGGTCAAACTTTTTTCTAGTAAAGTAAATAAAATAGAAGAAGTTATTAAAAATTATTATAAAACTCCTTTAAATAAGAACAAAAACAATAAAACTTCTATCTTTAACGCAAAGTTTACTTTGAATAATATACAATGTGAACTAGAATACGATTTATCTAAATTTACTTTGGAAAATTTACAAAAACTCGTAATTTTTACAACACAAAATTGCAATATCAATGATACCAATAATAAAAATCCATCTTCTATCTCATCCGACGAGAATCTTGATAAAAGTGATGATAAATAATCACTATCGATATTCACAACTTATCAAGGCAAAATCGACGAATGACAAATCGGACAAACAGAAAATAAAAATTACTTTAATTTACTAGACGATTTATCGCAAACACAATTTATTTTATGCATTAAGAAATTATATTATATACTTAAGATTCATATGATCGACTTTAACTAATTAGGAAATAGTCTAACTAATAATACTATCTTTTTTAACTCCATCATTAATTATAATTTGTCCATAAACTATAAATAATACATATAAAGTAGTTCAATTCCTTTTTTACGTTTAGCTCTTCCCACTTTTAATTAATAAATTATTACGATTTACCGAATGAATAAATTTTTTAGTTTAATTTATTTATTGGATTTTCATTATTTTTTCTGTTAAAATATTTTTATTTGATATTGACCGCATGAATAACTAATTCACATATATTATCGGATTTTGCCACGTATTCGCTCTTTTCCGCACAATCAACTTGGCTGTAAGTTATAGCCAAAAAAAGTATACGCTCAAAATATGACCTATATCAAGTTGTTAAGATAATATTATTTACTAACTTATTATAAGGATATTTGTTCATTTAACACAAATTAAACAAACAAACAATTTTGTAAGGTAGTGGTAAGTTTCATTAGTGCATTAATTATATAGTGTCACAAAGTAGACAATGTATTTTATTAGATGAGATTTTTTTTGACTAATCATCGGTCAAAAAATTTTAATCTACGAAATTATAACGATTTGATTTGATTTATTTATTTATTTATTTGAAAAAATAAGAATTATTGGTTCTTTTAATAAAATGCTAATAATTATATAGAGTGATACTGCAAAATTTTTATTTAATTATTTATACAATTACTATATAATCAATTTCATTGAGGTTATCAGTAGTCTCATGATCAATAAATCAGGCAATCAGAAGTGAATTTTTTAAAATAGTAACTTTGGCGTTTATTTGTGTTCTGCTTATATAAATAAACATTAAAAATTTTGAGTCACTGAAAGTTCCGTGAAAATAATTATTGCTACAAGAGAATTAATATATCGAAACAAATTTTGCTTTAACGGGCTTCACATTCACGTGATTACTGCGTATTGTTATATTTATTCTCAGTTTGATCTCTATTTGTCACGCACCTCGGATGTCACATGTGTTAGGTCGGGAATACTTTCATACAATCTCTTAGATTCATCAAGCTTTTTAAATTTTACATATTAGCAGCTAAATTATCGGTAATAAAAATACTTTATGAATTAATTTTTAAAAAATACTTAGTTTGGATCCGTTGTTGAACGGATATTAATAACTTCAGTCTAATTCATTTTAAAGTTTGAATTATGTGAAAAAATTATCAAAGTTATTTTCTTTCTTTTTTCTGTTTGAATTTTAATATTTTTTCTTTGTTAAGAATATTTTTTGCTTATTTATATCTACAAATCTAAATGAAAAAGTATTAATTTTGTAAGAATGTTTATTCTAAAGTTTTTTATTTCAGTCACTTATTCGTAACTGTAATTAACAATTTTGTTGAATATTCGAACGGATAACGGAATCAAACTCTAATTTTGTCATTATACTAGAAAGTAACTATTTTTCTTTTCGGTAAAAACACTTTCGACTATGAATACAATTTAGATATCTGACATTATCGTCATATTTTATTTATTCGATTTGATAAATTGTTAAGATTCAAAAGAAAAACGCAAAAAGGAATATGAAAAATAAGCAATCATTAAGAAAATTCTATATTATGGTAGTACAAAAGAAGTAAATAATATTAGTATGGCAGCATTATAACTTGATATTTACCAAGGTTTATCTTTAATGTCATACATTTTTGTGGAATCAAAATAAAAATTTTATTAATAATATTTCATCAATTTTTTTTTTTTTTTAAGTTGGATATTGATGACAAATTGTTAATAAATTACCTTCTGAATATGTGACTTTAATCTACAAAGATCTTTTTTACAAATATTAATTTTTTACAAATATTTCGCGACACTTTCTTCAAACATGTGACGAAGAATTTAAAAATCATAAATATGTTTATTTATTCGCATAACTTATTTACTAGTATAAAATTCAAAGGTAAAACAATACAAATTGAAATTAAAAATAAATGTTTTCACTAAAACATTTATCTTGGAATATTGTGGCTCTTTTGTAAGTTTGGAGAATATATTTTTTTTTAATTTATAATCCTACGTTATTTTTGGCTAAAATGATCGACATTCCGATCATCAAGTGAGTCAAATCCAATGTTTCCGATTGTTCCGTCAACACTTATTAATCTGTCATTAAATTATCTTATTTGGGCAGATCTTACAAATGAAAAATAAAAATTGGACATTGATGTTTACAATAAAAAATCAAGACACTAGGTATTACAAATGCCAGTCAATAAAAGAATATTGTCAATGTTATCAAAAGATCTTTTGCGCGTCATTATGTAATTTGTATAAATCTATTGTAATTAAACCTAAATAAGAACTACCGTTGGCCACTGCATCTAGTACCCAGGGGCTTATTCAAGAACTCGATATTTTAATTGAATAGTACCCGCAGGTGCACCGGGTACTATATTTGGATATAAATTATATGAAAAGTAATAAATTATTAGAGGTTATACCCGGGTATTATTCAAGAACTAGGTAGCATGGGTAATGAACAATACCCGGGCCTTAATCATGGGGTACTATTTTTATATGCAGTGGCCAACGGTAATATACCATCGTAATGATGTGCATTAATTAATAATATCTATTCATCTGCTATTTTATATCTATATTTAACCATTTGCGTCCATGCTGTTCACTTTCTGGTAAGTAAAAAAGTCGCGTAAAAAAAATATTCATGTTACGGATACGAATAATCAAACAAGTATGTGCAATAATATCAATCAAATATTAGCACAAATCAGAACTTATAATATATTGCATTATCATTTGAATCCGTTCTTTTAACTAAAAATGTATTATGAACTATCCCCTCTTTGTTTCATTATTAATAATTACTAGTAGTAGTAGCTTGTAAAAGATAAAATGCAGGGTAACTAATTACGTACAATCAGCCGAGGAAAGCGTAATGTTATTTATGGAAAGACTTTGCGCCAAGGATCTAACTGTTGGTGTTAATTCGGCCGAAATCGGAGAAAATTAAGATTTATGATATAATCTGTGCATCGATTATTAAATGGAAAATGCAGAAACAAAATAAAATTTAAATTATATTATTCTGTCATTATACGACAAAAGTGATACACAGTATTATCTTTTATCTGTATAATAATAAAAGTAGGTATTTTCGTATTTGTCCTTACTACATCCGCCGATTGGTTTTAAAATCGCGTTTCTTTCAAGTATTTTCATTTATCCTTAGTCATTTCGGAATATACGGAGATAAGAATGACAAAGAAACCTTATTATTAGAAAACAAAAATCCAAATTTTGGAAAAATTTTTTTTTATTGGTTCACTTTTCTGATCACGAACAAAGTTAGTTAAATTACTCAAAAATTTTGGCTTAGCACAAGAGGATCTGCAGAAAATAGGAAGCTATTTGAAAATATTACATAAGGAGCATTATTTAAGAAAATTACTAATGATCGACATGATAAATTGGCACCTAAATCGGTGAAGGCCCAAAACAAATAAGATTGCAACAGCACGCCAATTTTAACTTTCAGAATAAAAAAATAAGACAGTATTACATCTACTTTAACTTTTTTAATAATATTAATCAAAATATAAAATCTGAACCGATCGGGACGGGTCAAAATTTACGATAAAAAAATTTGGGGCGCCTGTGGAGCACAAATAAACGCCAAAGTTACCATTTTATTAATACTTATTACATTAAATATTGATTACTAATTTGTTATTTTTATTGAACATGTGGCCACTGGCTTATTCAATGAACTATATAATAAGAACCTGTTCAATTCTTGATCGTATCGGATTGACCGAAAAAATGTATAACCAATCAGATAATAGTTACAATTGAGCACAGTTTTTTGATGATCGGATTGGCTATATTATTCATAATATGTTATAGACGCAGACGTGCCATATAAGGCTAGTTCATCTGTACGAATTTATTGGTCAGATTTATATTGTATGACAATCAGAAAATTTTGCAAAAAAAAAAGTGAAGGAACATTTATCTTAAAATACTTGTAGTTTTTAATAAGAAAAAATTTATTTAATTCGTGAAAACTGGGGAGACTTTACTATAGTATTTATTATAGTTTTTTCCCTGATTCCCTCATTGGCAAGTATGTATTTCTTAAAAATGTTTTTAAATGTAAGATCAATATATATACAATTATATCAATCAGCAATCTTTTACCTGAAATTAGTGCTCATTTTATGTCATTTATTATTTTCATTATTGTAAATAAAATATGTTCTTTAAAATTTAGCGATATTTATTTTTACAAAATTTTCTTGTTTTCGATTTTTAAACCTTTAATTCTAGCCAAATAATTTATAATTCGATCCAAAATTATAGTCAGACGAAGTTCTCTAGCCCTGTTCAATAGATCGGATTTATCGTAAATTTGCACCCTTAGATAATTGGTTGCTGATGCGGTCAGCGGTCAGTCAAATAGGTGTTCACCCAGATCGATTTATAAAATTTATAAACAACAAACTTGGTCGCTTTTTTTTTTTAATTTATTTATTATTATTTATTTTCTTTCTCTTTTTTTTTTACGTCGAATATACTGTGACTAGTGAAATTTCGAATTTATGGGTTAAAAAAAATCAAAATAAAAATCAATTTTTTCTTTTCTTTTTGTGAATATTCTATGTAATATAATTGCGTGAATAACTCATCCGATAAAATATTATAGGTTAATTGTTATTCTCGCTCTTTGCCGAATATTGTTTTAGTAAAGAAACGCTCAATCGACTTTTATTAAGAAAAGTGTACCTCCAGAGTTATAACCAATTATCCCTATAAAAAATTTTTTAGAAAATTGATCATACGTCACATTTTTTATTAATTAAATGATGTCACAAAATAGGAAATTATTTTATTATCCAATTCAAATTTTTGATTTTTTTTTATACCAATCAAAATAAGATCTGTGCGGCAAATAATATCGGAATTCGGGTAATCCTATTAAGTATGCTATAACTATTTAATATTAAAACAATATTTAGAATAAGATTAATTATTAATAGAAAAAATTTTATAATTTTATTCACTGCAGCACCTTTAACAAATAATAATAGTCGCGTCATATTTTTTTTATTTTATTTTTGTTCTTCCCTTATTTATTTCTGTTAACTCTGCGATGAAGTACTTCTATCTAGTTATACAGTATAATCAAGGTATGATTTTCTTTCGTTCTTTTTGGTTTCCTTTTTTTTTTATATTTCTCTACTTACTAACTTAATTTTATTTTTTTCTCTAATTTTCTTTATGGGTTTATTTTTTTTATTTGGTTTCCTGATTGTTTTGTAATCACCTTTTCATCCCCTTTATTTTTTCCATTGCCTGTTGTCTTTTCATCATGTTTTCATTTCTCTTTATCTTTTCCATTACATTTCGTTCTTTATTTTTTTATACCACATTTTGTTTCTCTTTATCTTATTTTTCGTCCTTTATCTTTTTTGTTACTTTTTCATATTCTCATTTCCTTTATTTCTTATCATTTTTTCATCTTTTTCATTTTTTTTTATTTTTTTAAATTCTTTTATCAACCTTCATTCTTTATCATTCAATTCTTTTTTTTAATACTTATTTATCTTTTTTTGTCATTACTGGGTTTTCTTTTTTATATTATTATAGTCCTGCTAATATAAAAACTTTGATTTATGAGTGTATAAGTTTATAGTTTAATATTGTATTTCAAATAAATTGTTTCTCACGAAAAAGGAAATTTATATACAATTTTTGATTGTATTTTTTTAGTTTCTTAATTCCCCGATTCTTATTTTTTACCTCATAAAATTTATTTTATTAAAATAAACTGAATAAACTATTCTGTCATTTTAGAAATTTAACAATATATAATCTAATAATAATTGTAATAAAAAGATAATTTTATAATGTATTAAATAGAAAATTCTTTTCAAAATTTGATAGTTCACCTTTATACTCCCAAGGTTGCAAAAAATTTTTATAATATATAAAAAAACGCATTTTTTTCATAACGAAATAAAATACGAATAAATTATATTATAATGAAAAATATTATTTTACGTTACCGATAATTTTTTGGTGTTCTTGGGTATATCTTCTTAATTCGTAAGATAAATTGTGCTTGTGATGGAAAAAATTTAAGAAAGATTTTTAATTGACAAAAACCAAATCGTTATCTACTGTTAAATTAATTATGTTATATTAAATTGTGCCTCAGATCACAATTACCACTTTACATTTCATTTAAAAAAGTACGAAGGACTATAAATACATGAAGGTTAGAGGAATTTAAGTAACTTTATAAGTTGTAATAAGTTGGAATAATAAAAAATAAATTATAAGTAAAATAAATGCTGTAGGACTTTTATTTATTATATAAATTAATATAGGTAGAATTATAGAGATATAATTATATAAAGATGAAAATATATCAGGAAATTATAAAATATTTTATTTATAATACGCAACTTCAGTCGCTGCTTAAAAAAAAGGACGGGGAAGGTTCTTCCAACTTCGACCTAAAAGTTGAAAACTACTCCGCGTGCACTTTTCAAAAGCACGCTAGCTGATTTAAACCTGGCGTCCTTATCTTACAGGGGTGTACAATCTTAACGTACACCTGGCGGCCCGAATTTAGGAGTTATGCACGTGCACGTGCGTTAATTCCGGCCAGTTCCGTACGTTAATATCGTACGCCCCCCAGTGTACGTTAAGGAACCCGATAAAAAAAATTTTCAGAAAAATGATCCCGTGTCTGAGTTTCTTCGGAATAAAAACTATCATTTAACGGAGTTTTTTCTAGAATATTTTTTATAGGGTAAATTTAAATAACGGTTTCCCTAGAGACACTATTATCACAAAACGTGTATTAATAATAATAAAAAACAATAGCATTTATTATCATCTGAAATTTCGTAATAATTGACGTTCGCGTGTTTGCCGACTCTCGAAATTAAAATTCTATTAACGGAAATATCTTTTAATATTGTTAACATAGATAACATTTATTTTAATTATCTATGATTTTATTTCACAAGAAATTTTGTGATAGATGTTTTGCGACAGTTTCTGATACATCCTTTTCTTCCAATTTTAATTAAAATCATAAATATGATTATTTCTTTGCGTAACATCTTTACAAATATAAAATCTGGAAATGTATAAATGATCCAAATTGTTGCCTAAAAATAACAATTCGTTATTACCGTTCTTTTGGAGATATTAAATCCACTTTTGTAAAATACTATAATTAAATTCTACTCAGCTTTTGGTAAGTATAATTTTACTTTACCAAATAATAAGATGTTAAAATACACAAATTTATTGAAATTTCGTGTAAACTAACATAATCATTTCTGGTCAAATTCCCGTAGATCGCGGTTATGTTATATTTAGAAGTTTTTTAAAGCCATTCAATAAATCGATACATAAGGTATTCATAAAAAAATATCGTTCGGACCGATAATCTGATTACTTTCTAAAAATATGCTGGCTCGAATTTATTGATTCGTTCTTAATATTCCTATATACTGTATGTATTTTTTTTTATTTACTATCAAATCAATCGAAATTAATAATAGCTTAAAATGATTAATTATTTTAACGGTATTAATATATACCGCGATATTAGACATAGTATTAGACATAAAATATTACATAATTACACTTAAATAGATTTATCACATAATTAATGCGTGTAACATGACGCATCGTTTGACAAAAAGGGCTTCTCCTAAAATTTATCAAGAAGCTATTTTTAGCGGGATTACTATACAAATACGTTGCGGTACGAATCAAATTTCATACATTTAGGTTCATTCTTATCCAAAAACAAAAAGTATGATAATAAGTAGGCTGAAGTATTTACGATAAATTAATAATTACATTTAGTTAAAGCGAATACTAACAATCATTCACAGAATCATTGATTTTGCTATTCCATATCGGATCAGGCAATAATAAAACAAATATGGCTGAATCAACTTAAAATTTAGCCCTTCCCTATAAAAAAAGTTTGTGCCAAATTTATGCCAAATGAATTTGTTCGAATTTTATATTATTTTTTAGTACAAATTTCGAATAAATGTTGTATGGTTAGCCCTTTTGGCACAAATTTAGGCACAAACCTTTTTTATAGGGCTTAAATGTGACTCGTTGGCTTTCTTGCATTTCATAAACAAAGAAATTTATTTTCATATTGTTAAACAAATTACAAATATTCATATTTTATATACTGAATAAGAACCAGCCTAGGAAGTCAACCCCTATTACAATAAATTCGGAGTTTATAAATTTTACAATATAAAAAAACTTGTTAAATAAAGGGCGATCATTAATTTGTAATACTTAATAAAGGAAATTCATTGTTGTAACTCATAATTACACTTGATTTATATATATATCACTTTACTTTACTGTATAGTCCAGCTTTTTGTGTATACAGTATAAATCCTTTTCTAAAAATATGGAGCTGGATGACAAAATTTTTGTAATTAAACAAATTAAACATAAAAATTAAAATTATGCAGGTTCGCTTCTATATAATTCATGTAGATCTTCTTGTACATTCTTGTACAGTGTAAACAAACAACAATTAGTTGTTTGTAAATTTGTAAAATGCAGTGTTCTATTAGGCTGACGTTGCTTTCAGCGGGAATCGCGACAATGTCAGCAGGAACATGAGGCGATTGAGGCGCTGTTATTGAATGTTGACGAATTAACTCCTGCATATATTCTGTTGCTTCTGTATGTTTTCTAGACATATCCCTATAAAAAATTTTTCAGAAAAATGATCACGTGTATGAGTTTCTTCGGAGTTCGAAATAAAAACTATTTATCGGAGTTTTTCCAGAATTTTTTTTATATGGACGTTCAATAAAATGATTATTTATTGATTTTATACAATTTAGTTTAAGACCATTTATGTATAATTATTTATAAAAATAATTGTCAGAATATTTATATAAATAAATATCTTACAAAAAAGAAGAAACCCCAACATAATTTTATGATAAAGATAGTAAACTCGTAAGATTTTCAAGGTAATTTAATGGATCGTCAAAAAAATTATGCAATTATAGAGTATAACCTTAAAATTTTTTTTTGTTTATTTGGACACTTTATATTATAATATTAGAGGTATGGGTCTCGGCCCTGAATAAGTAAAATACATAGCGCAATACACAAGAAGAATTTCTTGCCAAGAGGACCCAAATTTTACGCTTCCAAGAAATTGTTGACTCACGGCGATTAAATGACAAAAAATTGACTAACTTTTCGATTTTTTTTTTAATGTTTATATAGAATAATTCCAGTATTGATTTTATCAATAATTTCTTTATTGTGAAAATTTAAATACTGAAAGTAATCAGCCAGCTAATTGGATTAAAAAAGGAAACCGTTACTAATTTTAGGAATTACGTAATAAATAGCTGCTACATTGTATGTATAATCATGTATGCCTAAATAAACAATATCGGTCTATGATGATTGTTTATTTTTTATTTTATAAAAGAAATACTTGGAATAAAATAACTGAGTGGTGTTTCCTATTTAAAAAACTGAGATGGATATTAGTAAACAAACCAAACAAATCAAAATAGAACCGGTTTTTAATCGCTTATATTTTCTATATACCGTATACAAATTAGGCAACTACCTGCTAAATTAGTTGTACTCATCAGAGTATTACTATGAATATATGAAATAATGACTAGCATCAATCTCATACACATTACATAATAGATTTATTAGTCTTTTAAGATTATTTTGATACAATTCCGTTTTCGTACACCATTTTAATGCGGCAATAATGAATCAATGTTTTATTTACTTTTATTTTTAAGACTAATGTTAAAAAAAGAAAAAAGGACATAGTATTGGATATCCAAAATAAATTTAAGAGTATTCCATCAATAATAAATATTTTAGTTAGTATAAATGGACAAATGGTCAATTTGTTATATTCATATACTGTAATTAATGGTTGATGATTCTATTAGTAATATTTTCCATATTTCAATTACGAAAGTATAGAATAAGAAGCGGGCTGAACTTGGTAATTTATTTAACAAAAAATATTTGAGATCAATTTGGCGCAAAGTGCAGCGATAAATTGAATTAAACTAAGACGTTAAGTAACGTTCCAATGGGAGTGGTAAACTATTAATATGGTAATAGCTAAACGCCAGTGCAGTTTCACGGGCGTGATAACATATCGTGAATATTAATAATTCATGTGTATATACTCCGCCTGCTGTATCATATAAATGGCGTTTCTTATAAATAAATATAAAATCTAGTATATTATATAAATACTATACCATGTCGCTCTAGTAGGAAAAAAGTAAAAACTTCTAAGATACATATGTAACTAATGTCGTCAATAAATTATGAACAAAGAACACCATACATGCAGAAAATCGGTCTAAATACAAACAGCAGGAGAATTAAAAGAAAACCTCAAAAGCTTTGTCCTGGTTGTAAAGAAACGGACGATTCTGTCAAGATATTTTCTAATAAAGTGAATAGGATAGAAGAAATAGTCAATAACTTTCATAAGAACTTTACCAGGAAGACTAATCGAATCTCCATATTCCGTGCGAAGTTTACTTTAAACAATATTCCTTGTGAATTAGAGTACGATTTATCGAATTTCACGTTAGAAAGTTTACAAAAATTGGCTAACTTTGCAACTCAAAGTTGCAATAATGACAACAAAGGTATTAATAACAAACCTTCCAAAAAGAATGATTAACGCGTTTTCGAATATTAAATTGAATATTCAGTTCTATTAAGATTTTTTTTCCAATGTAAGCATTTTCAATTAATAGAAATTAGTTTTTTAAATTATGCTTTTATTATTTTATTTTATATTTTTTATCCGAGGGCTTTAGTACAAAAAATACAATTTTAATAGTACGAGAAAAATTCGCAAACACAATTTCGTAATCGTTATGTTAAGGAATAATTACTAAGATTTTAAGATATAAGATTCATTAATTTTACAATAAATACAACAAGTGTTTCACTGCAACTAATTTAAGCCAATGGCTAAATATTAAAAAATATTCTGCATTTATTTTAATAACATATATTGCAAAATATGGTAAGTAGTATTAATAGATATACTGTAGTACTTATCATACGCAATTACGCATTATATTTACTATTCGGCTGGCCTTACTACTTACTATATAGTATTTTATTATTATACACTGGTGAACTAGGACCCCGAGCTATACATAAAAAGGTAGTAAGGGATCGCGTAAAATTGACTAAAATAATCATGTAGATCATTCCTTTTATATATAATGCCGGCCGGAATATATTTCCTTTTCTAGACGCTGACTGGAATTATCATAATTCCGGCCCTGAAAAAATGCGTAGAGCTAATAGTAATTTTTTTTTGGTTGCACCTTACCTCTATATATATAGCTCGGGGTCCTGGTGAACTTATTTAAAACAGTATTATCATATATAACGGCTAAGTTATGACAGTGATGACGAATGGTGAGACGTAATAACTAATTAACTGATATGTTAATGCGTAATCTTTCCAAAGTAAATTTTTAAAGTTTTTATTCATAACTTCTATCATTCACTAATGGAGTATTAGAGTGGCTTTGTTTCTTCACAACTAGAAAAACATTTGGTTATTCTTACGTTGTGATGAGTATTTGAACAGCGGTATTTTGTGATTTGGAGCAAATAATAAGATTAGAATTAATAAACTTATTACTATTAAAACATTGTTTACATATTATGCATCTTTATTTAGTTCAAATCGTTAAATACATTATTACAATATAAATATTCATTCAAATAATAGTCTATTTTTAACACCTGACGATCATCTACAGGGTTAAGGTAATGACTTCTAACCAATTTGAGTTTAGAATTTCCTGTCAGTGATCTCAATTTGTTATTATTTAAACGTATGACAGCATTCCATTTTACCAATTGTTAAACTTTTTCGTAAATATCTGCGTGAAACTGTTGTACCATGTAACATTCTAATAAGCATAGTTGACCGAGAACAAAAAAAAATAGTCATACAAACCATGTATGATTATTCGGAATGGGTTGACAGTTTGGATGCAGTTTGATTTCGGATGATATTTTATCTATCGATTTCTTAATTTTTAATTTCGGTATCTTACATACATCGGTTAAATGTAATAAATTTTAAATTTAATGAGTTAAATAATTTTCTGCAGTGTTCAGTGTTTCGATAACGGATTTTTCGAATATTGTCATATCGATATTGGATTTGAGGCTTAAAACTCTTAAAAAGGATGTTCGTAGATTTTTCAAACTACAGTATATCTGATTTATGTCGTCACATATAAATTGCATCCTATCGTAATTTCAAAATCTAATCTTTTGAGATATTATAAATTATTGTTAACGATATACTGAATATACGTCATGTTTTTTTTTGTTAATTTCTGCTGCATTATTAGCTAAATCTATTATAACTCAGTGATAGCAAGTGACCCAAATGACTAGGTCATTCAAAGGTCATTCGGGGTCATTTGTCATCACTGTCATAACTTAGATGTTATATATGATAATACTGTTTTAAATAAGTTCACCAGTGTATAATAAAATACTATATAGTAAGTAGTAAGCCAGCCGAATAGTAATATAATGCGTATGATAAGGTCATTTTTTTTTTGGCGTTGCATATGCGGTGATATTACGCAAATATGGATTCGTTAGGGTCGTTACCTTTCGAGCATAAACTGCTGATTAATTTTAAACAAATACGTTTCTTCATTTTTAGAGATTGTTAGTATGGGTAAGTCAGAACGGTAATTCAATTGGCTATAAATATTAATCCATGCTAATATTCACTGAATTAATAATAAAACCTAGATTTTGCCGATCATATAGAAACATTAAAATTTTACAGGGTTGGTGAGTTTTGCAGCATATTTAGGGTCATTATCGTGTCCAAAAATTGTTTCTTCAGTTGAGATGTCATAAGGTCATCAGAAGTTAACAATTCCATTAATCACCTTCAATCAAACGAAAGTCAGTTCAGCTGCAAACCCCTTTCGTCATACATTATACTATAATCGCTAATCTGATTGTTTACATTCTCCTTCCAACAATACTGAAACTTACTTTCTCATCTTCTTCCAGTCTTCATCATGACAAAATTTTCGTGTAAGCTTCTAGGTAAGACTTATTTTTCTCTTAACCATTTCTTTGGAATACCGTACCATTCCGAAATTAAACAACCATTTTTTGAACTTAATTATTCCAGCCAAAGCAGTCATAATTCTGGTCAAAATCTCCATAATGCGGGTTAAGGTTGCTTATTTTCGGGGTTGTTTAATTTCGGAATGGATATAATATTGAATATTTTAATTTATCTTGTATGCTAATAGAAGTAGAATATCGTTAGGAACAAAGTATTCTTCACAAATGATGTACCAGTTTAGACTTTAGATATAATTACTATCCTAAAAGTTGATCCGTGTTATACGGTATATATATTTCATGTTATTCTGTAAAGGTCAGTAGCCTTAATCAAGGAAATTACTTGACTTGCTTAGATTATGACGACCATTGAACATATTCATTGATATTTTTGAAAATATAACAAAAATCTTTAGATAAAATTTTTATAAGTAAAAAAGAGTAAACTGAAATATCAAATATTTAGATATGTCAGGAGGTTATTAATTTACTTTCCAGCAGACATTTAAACTTTGTCACTTGCATTGATTGATAATATAAACACAAATTTATTGTAATTGAATGACCTTATGCATAAATAAGATTTCAATTTCACAACCAATGACGGGATCAATAGAATCATAAGCTTGAGCATGCCTTTTTTTATAATTTGACATAAATTTTAAGCAATGACTTACTTATGATAATGATAACTTGAGTGAAAGTTAAATAAAGGGCAATGCATATTTGTATCAAATTCTCTACTATTTATTTAAAAATTTCTTCATTAAAAGTAAACAATAATTTTCTATATCTTGTTGAGAACTCATTTTTGTTATACTAAAAATAAAATAAATTGAAAAAAAATGCGTTTCTATCAATTGATCATTTAAAAAAAGGTTGTTTTTAGCTCGTTTGTTGTTCATCAAAATAGGAAATCTTTCCGAAACTCTTTGAAACTTTCTGATTTTTTTTTTTGACCAACTAGATCACTCATCAATATATCAATAGGTGATTGAGAACGCTCTAAGTAATTTTTCATATATTTCTATACATTTAAGTACTAGATGTTTTTATTATCAAAAATAAATGATTTGTAAACTGAAAGAACTCGGACATATTACTGATGTAGTTATAAGATGGTGTTATATATCTATTACAAAATAATGAATGTCCTTATATTTATTCATGATTTTAGACATCACGTCCAATATTTTCAATATTTTGCATAAATCTATTTATTCTTACATGGGTAGTTCTGTACCAAATTCCATATTTTAACCAAGATGGATTAGGTTGCAAATAAAAGTCATCATCAGCTAAATCTGGACGCTTATTTAATATCTTCATTATCATCGGCAGGTATTGATGAAATAATGTGTGCATTGCCTCCTTGAATCCACGTTGGTTAATTTTTGAATATATAATGAAAAAATTGCAAACCATTATGTCCATCTGATTTAAATTGATCATAGCAAGTATTATTGATAGGTGAAAAAAGGAATTTTTCTTAATCATGGTTTGAAAAAAAAGAGAAATAGTAAAATGTTATCTATAAACTTTAATAATAGTCAAAATAAACTATAGTATAAGACTAATTTTAACCCTGGGTGATTTAACCTATTAGTAAATTTCATTTAATTATATAATTTTGCCCAAATTTTCAAAAAAATGTAAATTATGGTCACAATCAAAAACAAGCGACATTATCAAGAATGTAAGAAAACTTGGTCATTATACTCTATAATGTTCAAATAAATAAAATTTATATAAAGTAAAATGAATAATAACACAAATAATTTTTTTTAAAAAAAATGATTGATAAATTTTAAGGGGTGATTTAACCCAGGTTATTTAATCCAGGGGGCAAGTTAGCAAAACTCTAAACTATAAATAAATTTACTGATCAAATAAACTATAAATAAACTTACAGGACGGAACCGTGATATAAATCAGGTTATTTCACGGAATCATTGTGGAATAGTGAAAATCATTGATATCCACAGTTCCCTGTTACTTATATCTCAATCATACGTTTCACTTTCTATAGAGATAAATTTTCATTTTATATTTCGGAAAAAGACGCAATTTGGGTTGTGCAATATAAACAAAGATAACAAAGTTGGTAGCTTAATTTTGTGTAAATGTGACCAAGATTTACTTTCATGAAAGACGCGAGTTAGGCAGATTATTCCTTTTACAAAAAATTTTAATAGACATTTATATAATAATAAATAATTATAGGCGCAAACAAAAACAATTAAGCAATGCCCCCAATTTTAACGCGTCCATTCACGTTTTCTGTTTCAAAATACTACAATATCAACATAGTCAATTATTTCCTTTTACAAAACGTTTTAATAGATGTTTATAAAATAATAACATTATAGGCGCAAAAACAATTACTAAGCAATACCCCAATTTTTGACGCGTCCATTCACGTTTTCTGTTTAAACGCCAACAGAGTTAGTTTATTTAAATTATTTCTTCAAAAATTTTTAATAGCTGTTTGTATAATAATAAAATCATAGGCGCAAAAACAATGCGTCATTCACGTCTTCTGTTTTAAATATACGTGAACCGATACACTATAAGTAATATATAAAAAGTAACTTTATATACACTAATAGTATGTATAAATGAATGTTTATTGTATCGATTATCTGTCATTATTTATATGTAGTTTTGTGTAATATTAAATATTTAAATATTATATAAATACGTCGTTTTTTTGTATCTTTTTTTTATTTCCTCCTAAATATACGCATATTATTTTTATCTCCTCTTTATACAAACGAAATGCCTTCTCAAAAAAGACTGAAACAATTAAGAAGACAAAGAATTATAAGAAGACATTTTCGACCTAACATATCCATTAA